CATCTAAGGGCCCCGACCCCATCCCAGCCGTCCGTGGGTCCCAGGCCCCAGAGCAGACTGGCCTGCGGCAACAGGCCCCTAAAACCGGGAAGGACACCTGCGGACAGGTCTTCCATGCACTTTACCAGTCCAAGGCATTCGCCCTCTGTTCTCTCAGTGGGGGCTGGGAAGGGTCCCTTTCCCCCTAGGCTGGTCTCAAAATTGCCATTTTTGGAGAGAGCACCAGCACCAGACAGGTCCTACCAGAAAACCTTGGGGTAAGGGGTCATGGGGTCAGATGTCAGCATCCCTGGCCCACCTAGGTCCAGCCAAGCTGTGCACAGCCAAGCTGTGCCCCGGACCCGCAGCCTCGTGGGAAGGCCCAGCCAAACCTTCCAATCTCTGACACACAACTCTCCGTCTTTAACCAGTCTGCTTCCAAAGCAGTCTTGAACAAAAAACCAGTTTTTAAAGCTGATTTTAGAGAAAGAAGCTTGTCAAACATTTTCAGACACACGATCTCTTACAGAAAAAGCCCCCAGGATAGTGAACGATACCCCTCCCCCTCTGAGAGTGTGGAATTGTTAGGATCCCAAAACCTCCTCAAGAGGTCTCAGTCCTTCAGCAGCATCCCACCAGCTTGCACCAAAGGCCAACCTGGTGCAGAGCAAAGGGAGCACTGGTGAGATGCTGGAATCTCAAGTCTGTGGCTCTCGGGCATTTGTCCGAGAGGACGTGTGGGTGTCCTGGTAGAGGTGGGAGGGATGTGGGGGAGTACGGTGGCTGCATGATGGCAGAACACAAGAGCTGGGAAGGGCTTGGCATCCTCAGCTCAGCCCCTGCTCTGCTCACAGGGGAACTGTTACAGTTTACAAATGGGAAAGCAGGCCTTGCCCGAGGGTTTAAGCATGTCCGAGTATTTTTCGTTCTAGAAAGGCATAAGAAACCCATGTCTGAATTTTTTAGTTCTCGAAAGGCGTAAGTGGAAAAGGACAAAACTCTTATAAGCATTGGGCAGCATGTGGCTTTTAGCCATCGTTTCAGCCCCATCCTCTGTGGATGTGGAAATCTCCCCTACAAAATGCTCCTTAGCGGTTGTCTCTGTAATAGCACGTGACCTGCCTGCCACCGCACCTGTAACAACCGCCAGATAAGCACCTGGGATGCACGCTCAGACAGGTTAGGAGCTACAGCTTCTCTTTTCCTGCCCTCACTGGAAAAAGCAGTCCCCTGCTTTTATCTCTTCAGAATAGCTGCTGGGGGTATCCTGCTGACTCCCGTCAGCCCGGGGAGGGGCGGGGGGGATATCTCCACCCGTTCTCAGGAAGCAGCTACAAATCCATTGCCCTCGTGTCTCCTCCTCTCCTATTCTTTGTTTGTAGACTGGCCCCAGGCCCCAGTGGGAGGCACCCTTGGGTTCCCAGTGCCCAGCACTTTGTAGCCCCTCCCCAGATTACTACCCCTTCCTGACATCCAAGCCCCGGTGGGGGCAGGGACAGGAAATAAATCGACCACCTCCCTGAAACTCCCTGACTCAAAAGTGATGGCAGCCGTGCTGAGTCTTTTTTAAGGCCCATAGTGGGTACAGACAGCTTGGGCTGGTAAAAATGGGTCCTTATTTACAAGGCTGCTTTGAAGTTGTACTAGGCAAACACACTGATTTAGAAAGCACAAGGAAACGAAGGGATTTGGGCACCATATTACTGTAAGCCTCTTGGTGGTGGGTACGGATACGTTGTGACATATTGTCATGCTGAGGAGATAATACCTGCTATACTCATATCTTCCGTAAAACCGACCCAGGGCTGGGAAGAAGGTAGGGAGGGATGGAAACTGCTTTGCACTGTAATTTGCTTGGTGTGTTTGTTTTTAATGCACAACTTCCATGTACAGTAAACTGTCTTCTATACTATTTAACAGTAAAATGGAATTTTGACTGATTTGTTACAATAATATAACTCTGAGATGTGTTGAAGGATCGCAGTGCCAGACTTCTAGAGCTGTATGCATGGGGGTGGGAGAGGATGGGAGTCCTCCCGCCATGGCCAGGGAGGAATGGGGCTGGGCCTGGGGACAGGAGCAGGACTGACCGTACTGCTTTGGAGATTCCCCAGCACCTTGGCCTCCCTGCATCCGGCTCCATCCGGAAGGGCCACAGAGACCACCCTGGGTAAGTACAGCTGGCGAGGGCTCTCCCATGTGTGGCTGGAACCCCAGAGGAATATCAGGTCTTCAAGGTGCCACCATCCCTTCTCCCTTCGCGGGTGGCCCATGACTTTTCACAAGTCAACAGAATAGGCAGAGCACCTGTTCCAGCTCATCCCCCAGGCTCTGAGTTGGGAAGGGGGCATAGGCGGGTGGACCGTGAAGCAGCCTTGGTGAGAGCCCATCTCTGGGAACTGTTCGCTGCAATACTGATAAATTAGCAGCAATCAGCACTGCAAAGCAATCAGCCACATCAGCTCCCCCATTTTGCAGATGAGGCGACTAAGGTGCGAAGAGGGGGTGTCACCTGGCCCCACAGCTCCGTGGAGGAGTTTGTGGCTGATGGTGAGGGCGGCGGGTGTGAGGGTGTGGGCCCCTGGCTTGACAGCCTCCCCAAGCCTGCCAGCAAGGAGGCCTGGCCCACCGTGCCTGTCCAGCTGGGGCTTGGGGACGGGAAATTTCATAAAACACCTTACTTTTGAGTGAAAATACTTCAAAAGCTAATCCCAAGACGTTGCCCTGTTCAGTTAGGTTGGTCTGCCTGAAACCCAACACCCGACAGGAAGCTCCCCTTTCCCCGGCCTAAGCCCTGATCTCTGCCCCTCTGCGCTGAAGCAGGCTTCTGCCCCAGGGCCAGCAGAGTCTTCTCTAGGCAGGATCCCGGCCAGAGCTGCAGAACTGCTCTGTGGCTGTGCTCTGAGTGCCGTCGCCCGGATGAGCAGGTATGGTCCTGAAGCA